ATTCATTCATTGTCTATCCTTATCTTTTTTCATCCTTCCCATTAGATCAAATATTGTGGGATCTTGATTAAGTTCATAAACCTACATATATAATATGACAATTTAAATTATTTTTATAATTAAAATCTATAAAGGTTAGTTGAACATATAATTTTAATTACCATTATTTTTTGATGCATTACAATAGAAACAGATCCACTAGTATACAATGAAATTCCACTATCAACAACTCGATTTTGCTTGTTAGTATCACTTTTCATCTCCACTCCAATAAGCTTTTAATTCTTTCCTAACTCTAAGAATGATGCATTCACCCTTGTCCTTACCACTCATAACTTAGACATTGTATTCTTAACAATGATAAAACCTTTATGATTAAAAGTAGCTCTCATAACTTTTTCATAATGGGACAATCACTTCTACTTCTTTTTTTTTGGCAAGAAAACAAGAAATTAGTTTTAAACAATATAATTTATTAATAAAGTAATTAAGCTTGTAGCAAAAGTAAAGCAATACAAATACTAGGATATAAACAAGTGTATGCACAAGAAGTGAAACATTAAAGACAACAAACAACACTATAAATAGAGAAATATACAAGTAACAACAAGCAACATTTATAACAAAAGGAAAAGAAATTTTTTTATTTAAATATAACCTTCTTTACAAATAAAAATAAATAAATAATTTCATATACTACACCTTGATATAAAGTTGTTCAAGTATTTGATTGAAATGTACTAAAGCTTGAATATACACCCATAAGGTGAAAAAACCAATAAACTAATAATAAAATTAATAAAATTATATGTCCTATGCATATAATTTAAAATAACAAAATTATAAGCAATGTTAGCTTAAATTCATCAAACCACACATTAAATTTGAAGGGTTTTTTTTTTTATTTTTATTTTTATAATTTTAGTAGCTGAGTATTCAGAATTTTGAGTCTATTTATTATATTGAGGTTATTCAATTTTATATTATATTATAGTGGGAGTATGTTAGTAATCTACACCAAAATTTTAAGACAAAAAACTACTCATTTCTTTTGATTTGGTTAATTCGTACAAAAGATATTATAGTAATTTAATTTAATTTTAAATGAAAATAAAATATTTTCTCTCTCTTATTAACTTCATTCTCTAAGTCATTTCTCTCTCTTATTAAATTTTTTCTCCAACTCATTTCTCTCTCTTATTAAATTCTTTCTCTAACTTATTTATCTCTCATATTAAATTCTTTCTTTAACTCATTTCTCTCCCATCTCTCATGATGTCTCTCCATCTCTTTCTGAACAAATAAAAATTAATTAATAGAAAAAAGAAATGAATTTATGATATGCGGGGTAGAAGGCGTCACACAAATTAATCCTTGATTCTTGGCTTAAATATAAGTGAGAAGGTTTTATTTTTTTTAAATATCATATTATATAAGTAGGAAAAATGCTTTAAAAGTGTATATTTAATGTTCCTTAACCTGCACAAAGTTGCACAAGAAAGAAAAACCTGTGATAAAATCATATAACAAAGTGATATATTTATTGTTATTCTTAATTTGGGTAGAAATTTTAAACTCGTTATTGTAAGATAAATGAAGTACTAATTAATGTATTTAGAAGTAGACTTATGTTTTGTAACGTCTAATTGTATAAATATTAACCCCAATATTATATATATATATATATATATATATATAGGTTGAGAACACAAGTATTTATTAAGAATATTATGCATGATAACAAAGAAATATTTTCGAATTCATTTACATATAATTAGCTTATAATTCCATTACATATTAAACTAAAAATATTTGAGCTGTCGATCACTTTAGGAACTTCTGGATTTGGAGAGAATGTAAAAGATGATACCGCCACTCCGTTGAAAGTAACTGAGTTTGCTACCGCATCTACACTCCACGTAGTACCGGAAATTACCGCAGATATAACTGAGGGACAAGGTCCCGGAATAGCTGGCAAATCTATCTATTTTTTTTTATAAATTAATTACATATTTTAAACAAGAAACAAAAGGAGTGAGAACAATTTTCCAATAAATATCAACAATTACACAATATGCATAGAAATTAATACTAGTAAATATATATTAATTCTTCTTGATATAAAAATTTGAATTATACTTGTAGTGACTAGTCAGGATAAATGAGCATTATAATAACAAATAACTAAAGGTTATTTCACCTTAGTTTTTACTCATTTAAATCCCTAAGGTAAACCTCCAACTACAAATTAATTCAAACTTCAAAAAATGAGTGACTTTTTTGTCCTAAAATTTTGGTGTAGGTTGCTAACATACTCCAATTAAAAAATAGGTGGGAGTATATTATCATTCCCCTATATATATATATATATATATATATATATTATATTTATAGATTGAGAACACAAGTATGTTATTAATAATATTATACGTGATAACAAAGAATGATTTTTCGAACGCACATACACATAATTAACTTATAATTACATTAAAATATTTGCAATAACATACGTAACTATAAACTTCTTATATCTTACATTATTATTTTAATATTTACATTACATATTATTCTAATAATATTTACAACACATGCCTATTTACATACCATATTTTTCTACTTCCACGATAGTATTTACATTGATGGTGGAAATAAGTTTACAATAGGATTAGCGTGGTTAGCGGGTGGTAAAAAGAAAGTCACTATAATGGGTTCATCTATAATAGTGAGATTTTCTTGGTTGGGAAAAAAGACAAACGAAGACAATCCTATACCTTGGAATGTGACTGAGTTGGAGACAACATCTACACTCCAATTACCCCCAGGAAAAACCGCAAAGATAACAACTGTAAAGGGACATGGAATTGCAGTTAGATCCATCTATTTTGTGATATATTTAATTTTAAACAGAGAAAAATAAGGAGTGAATACAATTATCAAATAAATACAAATGATTAAATAAAAGTACAAAATTATTTATAATCAACAGTAAATACATAATTATATATATATATATATATATATATATATAAAATTTTCATTGTTATAATAAAATTTGAATTATTTTAGTAGTGACTAGTCAGGATAAATGAGCAATATATATGTATGTATGTATATATTAATTTTTCGTTGTTATAATAAAATTTGAATTATTTTAGTAGTGACTAGTTAGGATAAATGAGCATAATAATATCAACCATAAAATGGTATTTTACCTTAAGTCCTTATTCATTTAAATCCCCACTGTAAACCTCCAACTACAAATTAATTCAAACTTTATTTCTTATGGCCATAGAATAGCATTTGTCTTTATAATGTATAAAAAATAACAACAAGATGAGCTTAGGATATTTTAACAAAACTATATCTCAGTTAAATTTAACATAAAAATAATCACGTTAAATAAGTTGATTATTTTTAATTTTTTAGAATTTAATAAAATATAGTTTACGTAAATGGAATATATTAAAGAGTACCAATCAAGTAAATGATAGTGATAATCAATATAAAATAATTAAACAACATAAAATATGAACACCTTATTAATTATTAAGAGTAAAAAATATCATAGATTAAGCAAGTAAGTGAGGTTAGGGATACTTCACTAAGTAAATACATATAAAATATAATATAACTAAATAAACATAATAACATATAAAATTTTAAAAGATAAAGTTTTCCCCCTTACCTTAGAATGTAGATTTAACAAGAGCTAATTTCGTAAAAATTTCACTATCCTCTTTCTACTCACTTCTCTCCGTTTCTTTCTCTTTCTCTTTTTCTCTCTTCTCTTCCTTCTCTCTTTTTGTTCTCCTTCCGTAAGCTTGTGTTCTCCAATTTTCACTTCATGTGAAGCCTATTTATAAAGTGAATGACAATGATTACTTAGTTAATTTTTAACGAAAATTTTGTTCCATTTGATTAATTTCTTATGCTCTATTTATTCCTAGTTTCTTATGGATAGCATGATGATTCATTTGTGATGAAGTGTAGGGTGTTGCAGCAAAGATTTTTCTGCTGCACCCTTATCCTCGTTTTTTTTATGATCACTTTAAAAAAAATTAATTTTTTTTAGAATATACGTCTATATATATATATATATACATATTTATATATAATAATCAAAATGTTATTCTTGAAAATTATAAGAATAATTAAAATGTTATTCTAGAAAATTATGATAATATTTGAATTATAATATTTTGATTTGTTCAACTATAAAAATCATAATGTATCAAAATAAAATATTTTTTTTTTGAATAAGGTAACTAAAAATTAAAAGAAATATATATTTATATATATGTATTGTTTTTAAGAAGAAATAGTAAAAATTTATAACATTACATTGAAGTTTCAGAATATTACATGTTTCTTATAAGTATGATCGATATAATACAATATTACATGTTTCTTATAAGTATGATCGATATAATACTTTTCATATGTCTCTTATATATGTATGTATATACATCTTTAAGGATTTTCAATCGAACTACGAATTGCTTACCTCATCCCTAATGCAAATATGCATAGAAGGATGTAAAGTACAAGACAAGTCAGTTTGATCCTAGGTCCTAACTAGTAGGAACTAAAGACTTGAGTAGTTGTGTCAAACTCATGGAATATTTGTCTCTTATGTATAGGAACAAGATAATATTATTTAATTTCACTAATCCTATTTAAAAAAAACATTTTGTAAATTACTCTTCATTTAAATATAATATTAAGAATAAAAAAATTTACTTGGTCGAATTAGAATCACAATTAAATATGAAAGATATTTTGGAAATAATGTCATTAAATACAGTAAAATTAGTTGAAATTTGTTTATATTTGATACCAACATATAGTTATTTTTATTTTTATTTTTATTTTATACTTGATGAGACAGAGGAGTAGCATATATTAATTTCAAAAGAGGTGAGTGTAATTTATTTTTTTTAAATGGAGAAGAACTTTGTTCATTAAGCATCTATCAAGCATTAAAATTGTAATTTGTAATCTACTCTTGAAAATACTGGTGATGGTATAACATATAGTTTATTGGGTCGGGGACTTACCTTATACAATTATATTTTTGTAACACTATAATACGTTTATTCTAGAATAAACAGCAGAGCCTAATCTAAGTGATATAAGTCCCTCTCATGCACTTCTCACTTTTTTCTGCCTATTTTACAACGTATATCTCTTATTGTAGGGAAGTTGCCACTAATCTTCTACAAGGTAATAAATCTTTCAGAAACCTTATGACATGTTGTTGCATCAGCCAAATATAAGCATATATTCTAATGCGTCAGCAGCTGCTACATTGGCAGAGGCCAGTGCATTTGGTGGGGGATCCATGAAGAAAAGGAATGAGCCTAAAACAATGATGAATATGGTGAATATGAAAAGTGATTTGCAAGAATCACCATATTTTCTAACAAGTTTGAGTCCTTCTTCTTGACCAGTTCCTGATGATGATGTATTATTCAATTGAAGTATTGGACTAGTTAGAAAGCCATATGCCATGCCTGAGAAGGTTGCTCCAAAGTGTGACCTACAAATCAGAATCAGTTTTACAATTTAAACATTTGCTTTTTGCAATATATAACTTCATTCTTCCTCAATATGTTTCTTCCAATCCTATACTTTGGGAGAAATTATTATATGGTTTAAGTAGGGTTTGAAAAAAAATCCACATCGAAGATAATCAATCAAAACTGAACTGTTCATGATAATAAAAATTAATCTATTTTGAGAAAAACTAAACCATCCATCTATAAAAATGGTTTGGTTTATTGATTTTTTTTTATAAAACAGATTAATTTAAATTATATATGAATATAAAGTAGATAATCAATTACATCGAATCAATCCAAATTAAAAAAATCCGATTTATTTTTAGAAAAATATCAAATCTATTTGCTTTTAAAAATGATTTGATCAAATGAATATTCTTATAAAATAAACCTATTCGATTTGAATTTTTGAAAAAATCAATCCATGAACAGCCAAGGGCCTGGAATCATCATGTGGTCATGATCCGACCAATTTTCAAGAGACATGTAATCAAGCTTTTCATTTTTAAAAAAGAAAGAGTTAACAAAACTTGGTTATGCATCACGTGAAAATTGGTCAAGACCTAGGTGGCTCCAAACCATTCAATAATTTCTCCTGTTTTGGGGCTTCAACGCATATTTTTGACACATCAAATCATTTTGTTGATATGAAAAGTGAACTTGCTCTTATCCTATGAGATCAACTCATTTTCATGCATGCCACTTCCTTGTGAAGTTAAGTTCCTTTCATGTTTTATTGAGTTTTTTGATGAGTAAACCACTTTCTCTGAATAATGTATGCCATACCATTCGTCAATTGGACCAAAGTGGCTTAATATGAAAATAAGAGCTGTAATGATAACTGCCTTCTGGAACAGGCTCTCTGAAGCATCACTTGCAACAACATCTTTGTTTTGAATTTGATACATGAGCCAAGCACCAATTATTGCAAATACAGGTCCCTGAGTACAAGTAGAAGTTAGCAAGAGAGTTTTAGACAAAACAAAAGAGATCAAAGAGAAAGAAAGGTATAGCAAAAGTTCATCCATCTTCACAAATAATCATTTATTAAAATTCTTAGAAATTGGGTTTGAAGTTTGAACTTAACTCAACCTTGCAAAATCACCTTATAAGGTAAGAATTACTCTTAACTTATACACATTTTATGATCTTATCACTAATCGATGTGAAATCTAAAAATTTATGGATGATTCGATAACAGACAATCTCATAAGGTCAACAACAATCAATAATAATTAAGTTAAATTTTGATATCATCTTAGAATGTAGATTTGAGTCTAATTAACTTAATCTTACAAACTAACTTATAAGATAAAAAATGTTTTCCATTTATATACACTTTTATGGTCTTATCACTAGATAACATGAGATCTCCAATAAAAGGTTTTATGACCAATTTTTGCTTAATATATGTACTTAGTTTAACAAAATGATTCTCACTTGATTTCCTTCAAACCCTTATAGTGTGTTTAGACGAAGAATTTTATAAATTCAAGGAATTTTTAATTCTTGATATATGAATTACTTTGATTTCAATTTCTATCATTCTTAAAATATTTTGTTTGGATGAGTCAATTCAAATTTCTTAAATTTTAAATTGTTAGGTTGAATATCATAATTTGATTCCATCATAGTAAAATTGATTTTAAAAATATATTTATATGTTGAGATTTTTAAATTAAATTTTATAAAAATAGATATTAATCCATTTTTAAATATTTAGTAATTTTAAAAATTAATATTAGATAATATTTAATAATTTTAAAAATTAATATAAGATAATATTTAATAATTTTAAAAATATTTTTGAATATCCAATAATTAAAAGAATGAAGAGATAAGATAAAATATATAGGTGAAATAAGAAAAACAAATATGAGGAATTTCAAATTCTCTCATTTTTGGGAGAATTTGAAATTCTACTATTTTAAGGAATTTCACAAATGCTTGGATTTTAAATTCTTTGTAAATTCCCAATAATTAAAAGAATGAAGAGATAAGATAAAATATATAGGTGAAATAAGAAAAATAAATATGAGGAATTTCAAATTCTTCCATTTTTGGGAGAATTTGAAATTCTACTATTTTAAGAAATTTCACAAATATTTGGATTTCAAATTCTTTGTAAATTCCTCATCCAAACAAAGCATTTCACCTCAAGAAATTTGAAATTCTTCAAATAAATGAATTACCCTATATAAATTTCTCATCTAAACACACCATTAGAACTTGAGCAAATGAATTCATGTAGCATCCATGTTCACAAACATTAAACATTAATTATGAGGGAAGCATCGAAGTCTTCCTTGGTTTTAGAACTCACATTAAAATATAATTCTCTAAAATTCCTATTAATTGAAAATAAAATATTATAGAATAATTGTTAAATAAATGTTGAAATAAAAGGATAATGGCCGAGAATTGTTACGTGATACTTACAGTTCCACCAACAGTGGGATCTGGTGTATGTAGAAAACTTGTGAAGTTGCAAGCAACTCCACCCAATATGTAGATCAACAAAAATGTAAATGAACCATAGCCTTTGCAAACTTGAGGCCCAAATGTTACAAGGGCCCAACAACTAACAGCCATGTGAAATATTCCTGCATGCTGCATATAAAAATATACTATATAAGAAGCAGGCATAAAAAACATATATAGTCACAGTAAGATTAGAATCTGGTATTATAAGTATACAGACAGAGGACACTTTTTTCATATTCTTTTGCAAAGTGTTTCTAGATATCAAGATTACGTTCATTATGCATGATGTTCACTGATACTGATCATCATAGTCTTAAGCAATGAGTTCATTCTTGCAATGCAACATCTGTATTCTAATGTAATGGCTGTATTTTGATACTGTTGGTTTGAAAGTAAAACTTGAAAATAAAGTCAATTCCCAAAAGTAAATGGAGTGTAAAACAGAAAAAATTTGGGGTTTAATTTGTTTTTATTCCAAAAACTATGAAATTTTTTTTTATTTTACTCATTATTTTTTTGTCATAAATTTTTAAAATTTTTAAAATAGTCTCTATCATTATTTAATGATAATATAACATGTATGAAGTCAAGTCAAAGTAGCTTATGTAATATGACTAGAAACATGTCACAATATCAATAAATAATGATAGAGACTATTTTAAAAATATTAAATTCGCGAGAATAAAACGAAAAATAATTTGAAACACTAAAATCGAATTTTTCATATTTGTAAGGGCTAAAACGTATTGGCTTAACCCAAAAATTTAAATCAAACAAAAAATTAAACCATGTGATTTTGCCAAACGATGATGAGTGACATGTAAACAATTCTCTATATCTGAGGAATGGAAATTAAACACAGACCCAATTCTCAATCGTGTACCAGAAACATTGGTGTTACAAGCCTCCACCATTCTCCAACCATGATCAATTGATTTATCTTTGCTCCATATAGTAGTGGGATGGAAAACAGCTCTAAATCAGCATTCCTTATAGGGCTTGCCATTTCAAATAGAAACACTGCAATGTTTACAGAAGCCAATATGCCACTGCACCAAAGATAACATCAAAGAAGGATTAAAGAAAGTAATTTACAAGAATTTAATGGTCATGTCCTGAATTTTACACTTTCAACCAATTATATATCACAATTAATATGATTTTTACTTATTTGTTATAAAAATCACCATCATATCATAAATGGTGGTTTGTGATTAGATCACAATGTAAAACAGTACACCACCTATTTTCTCTATTTACAATATGCCAAATATTAAACAAGTAAATAAGGAAATTGTGCATGATAGCATCAAGAGTAGCCATTGAAAGGATAAAACAAAGACCATGACAGAGATGAACTTACATTAGGTAGAGATTGGAGGTTTCATCATGTTGCTGTGAATCTATAGCAGACCTTGGACCTTGTACACCTTTTAGTCTTCTTATATCCACATAAGCATTTCGTTTCCTAAAGTTTGATCTTTCAATGTCTTTGCTGAGAGATTGCTTTGGTGCTAAATTTTCTTCATTAAGATTCTCAACATAAGATGGCATACGAGATTGTTGGTTTGTGCCTGCATATAAAAGTACTTACGCATTCAACCTTTGAAACAAACTTGTTCTTCTCAGTTAACACAAGGTTTAAGTGGTTGTGATTTGAGAAGAACTAGTCAGGTAGAAGACAAGGATAATAAATGAGAGTAAATAGTCTATGCCAATAAGTGTAAAGCGATTTTACACTATCATTTAATCATAAACTATCATGTATGGTATGGTAATTAAGTTTGTTGATTTTTATAATAACTACAACAAAAAACATATTGATAAATTCTAATTGGTTGTAAGTGTGAAATTATTTTTTTCTCACATTGATAGTGCATAGAAGTTACATACTAAATGAGAAGGCACTACAATACTCATTCCCCATGTGATATAGGATGTTAAATGAACCAATAAATTCTAGCACAGTTAATAGATAATAGAGCTTTTTAAAAGCTGTTAAGAGTTCGATTATCTGGTCATGCATATGAAGAAGGTTTTATTGAGAGAAGTAATCACGCTTACCAATATTTAGTTTGCTAAGATACTCATCAAGAGACTCCAATGCAGTTTTTGATGTAGCACCCTCTATGTGATGCACCTGTATCAACTTGTGTGATGAATCAAATGTACGCAATTTTGCATTATCTTGGAGTTTTCGAAAATAAGAGTCTAATGACCTTAGTTGCTTCTCAGCAGAGCTAGACTCTGCTGAACACCTAACTCTGTGAAGGTTTTCTATCTTTGAACCACAAAGTTTTGTCACATGCTTGTGCAAAGAACCTCTTTCAAGAAATGTGCACCTAGGTACATTCTTCTCATTTGTGTTTGATTTTGTGAGGACATTGTTGACTTTATTCCACGGTTGGCAACTTCTGCAAACATGACCAGGAATTGAAGAGCTGGTCCTCATCATGTTATCACACTCATACATGAGCCTCTTCTCATTATGCTTCACTACATTTTGGGCTGGCAGATTTTGGTCCTTGTAGAGCGTTTTGTAACACATGAGAAATGCAGCCATGAAAACCTGAAAGGAAAAACATAAAAGCAAGAAAAGGATAAGCAACCATCTAAAATTCTAAATAGTGTATTCATTGACATAGTAAAGAATTTTTCCAATCATATAAGATAAATTTGTGAACTTTTATAATACCTACTTAAAAGTCATGTGAACAAAGATGTGTTCTTTTTAGTAACTACATTGTTGGTACGAAATATTCATCATTATAAATAACAATTAATTCATGTCAGAAATTGTAACATTCTGATTTTCATAAATAAAATAAAATAAGTATTTAATAAAATAATTATATTTTTGTTGGAGTTTTGTATATACAAACGGTTTATGCTTTTTTTTTTTTATTTTTTTATTTCTTGATGAGAAGGAGTTTTTAAAATTAAAGTATTGTGAATCCTTTTATTAGAAGAGTTAAATTTTAAATATGTTTTATAATATTTTTAATTTAATTATTTTTATTATAAAAACTCTTATTTATTATGCTTAGAGTAGAAGGGTGTCACAGAGATTATAAGCATATACGAAGTGGTACTCCCCTCTCAGTATAATTTTTTTTACACTAATAAAACATATAAATTAAACTCTTCTTTAATCATTTTATCAGAACAGAAATTTGCTATTTTTGTGTTTGGTACCCCTATCTTCAACTTAAGCATGAAACAATGAAACTGTCAAATAGCAAGAATGAAATCCATGTTATTAGGTCAACACCTATGAAGTACGGATATTTCAATTTGCTTCACGTATCCGTATCCGATATGTATCCAACACGATACTCTTGGATACTTCACCGATACGTATCAATGAAGTATCCTAGCCTTTAAAAATATTATAAAAACTTTATTCAATTTTGATACTTTTAGATACTTCACCGATACTTATTAGTGATACGTATCAATAAAATGTTCAAATTTTTGAAAAATTATGAAATATCCATTACAACTAAATAAGATATATAAATATGTTTAATATAGAAACATAGAATTATTGGTCCTTGATGAACATGTATCTTACAAGTATCATATCCTATATATTTTTAAATAATCGTATCGCCGTATTGGATACGTGTTGTATCCGATACGCGTATCGTATGCTTCATAGGTCAGTACACATAGAAAGAACAGTGTGGAGAAATCAATCATTTGAAACATTTTGTACCCTTGTTCGTACAAAAAAGAAAAAGGGTGTGCTCACAGTAAAAACAGTAGTTACAGTACTGAAGATCAGTGACGAGGAGAATAACATATTCACCTTCGAACGGAAAACACACTTTTTCAGACCATCAACACTTGTCACACAGCTCCAAAATAGTCAAAGTTATATCACACATGTCAAATTGTAAATATATTTCCTAATTCAAACTTTGGACTAAAACCATCTTATGCCACCAAAGTTAATAACAGCTTTTTCTTCCAAACAAAAACATACCAATTCCTAAAGCAACAAAAGGAAACTCCCTTGAGGCCATGTTTTCATCATTTGAAAACTAACAAATTAAAATGTCGAAGAAAGAAACAAACACTAGACAACACAAACACCAATATGATAACATAAAATTTAAGGAGTGAAAATCAAATCCATACCTGTGTATGCAAGTTTGTTAAATTATGACATGTACATAAGCTTCAGAATTGAAAAGAAGATCTTGGGGTGGTTGCTACTTAGTATTTCCATTAATGGTATATGATAATGGCTTAATGGTGGTTGTTAATTGACATCGACAATGATCAACAACGACAACTAATTCTCTACGATTCTATGCACTGTGCCTTATCTGGGTTCAGCCATTCATGGTTTGAAGCAAAAGATATGCAAAGTTTGTGAGCCAATAAATGCAACTACTAGGATTCGGAGGGACCCACGTGCCACTTTGATTAATCATACACGTTGCATGGTTAGGCACCTCAAACTTTGGTTGGATTTCGCTTCAATCATGGAAAATATATGGTGTACAACTTCTTTATTGGTGAAAATTAAATGGAGAGCAAAAGAAACCAAAATATCTGTGGTTATTGTGAGAAGTGAATCTAATTATATAGTTTTTAATGATGCATTATTTGATGATTGGACGATGATTTTTTACTTGTAATAATTCTTTTCTTTCACGAAATAGTATTGTATTTTTTTAAAATAATTTTCTTAAAATTAATATAATCTGAAATGTTTATTTATGAGAATGTGAGAATAAGTGTTTGGTTCACTTCAATATTTTTAGACATTTTTTAAATTTTAAAATAATTTAAATAAAAAATCTTTTAATATTCTACCCAGAATATTACATCCTCATTTCTAATTATGAGAATAAAACTTTCCTACTCATGAAAATATAATTTTTTTTCAAAAATAAAAAATATCTAAAAATATTATTACATGACATTTTAACAAATCTGAAAATAAACATTCTTACGTTCATATTCATAAAAAGATGACCTAAATGCAAATTATAATCATGGTAGATATATAGCACATTTCTTACAGCTTCAGTTTTTAAATAGCAACTTACTCGAAATTTAATGTATTTTTATTTTTAATATTTTAAATTAACTGTGACTAATAATATTTTGTCAAGAGTAGATTAGAATTTTGAGCGGTGTTATTTGGTTTGAAAAAAGATTGCAGTACGAAACTCTAGAATTGCTAGACCAATATTATTTTTTCTTGGTACATATTAACCTTTTTTTTTTGTACATAGACCAATATTATTTAAAAATAATAAATTAAATTTGAAAAATATAAAACACTAATTAACGAAAAACAACGTTTCTGCGCCTTTACGAAAACTATCTGGTACATATTAGCATTTACCAAGAATTTTCCATTTAAGAAAAAACAGAAAAAGAAAAGGCATTGTAAAAGTGCATCTCTAATCTCTAAATGCAAAAACTGAATTTGTGAATTAAGTTTGTCTAGTAAAATTAGTTTATAAGTTAATTGAAAACTTATAAACTAATTAAAAGTTCATAAGTTGTAGTTTAGAAAATTTTGAAGTGATTGAATTAAAAATATTTAATAATATTAGTCCAATTAACTAATGTAAAATTACATATTTATTTATTTTATAATAAAAGTGGATGAAAAAAAAGGTTGATAAAATATTTTCTAGTTAAAATAAATAAATAATATTTTCAAGTAAATTAATGGAAATAAAAAATTAAAAAAAATAGTAGAGATAAAAAAAGGAAAGAGAATAAAAAAAAATGGACTAAAAACAAGCTCCTAAAATAAATTATTGTATTAAACAAATTTATTTTAGTCAAAATAAATTATAAGTTAGTCAATAAATTTATAAGCTATTCAAATATATTGTGGAACACACTGCTAAAGAATAATGTTAATATTTTTTTGTAAAATTTTAAATTTATACGAAATATCACTGAACTGATATTCAGATTAATAAAATTAGGATACGGCAAAGTTCGTGCTATTGCCTTTTTTTTGGGCGTTTTAGTTAACAATTTTATTTGGGACGAATTGAAAAGTAAGGTGGGACTATTAGTTTTCAATTTATTTATTTTGTATCCTTATTTAAATAAAAATCAACATATTTTTCTTTTATTTAAATATAATCAATATGCTTAAATACACTATTGTTATTTTATTTAAAATGTTCCCTAATTTAGAAATTTTAAGAAAAAAAAATTGAGAGACAAAGTTGTAAGAAAAGTTAAAAATTATTTAAATTTACTTCATTTATATATATTTTTATATAATAATTTTATGAAATACTTAAAAAAAATTGTTTCTATAAAATAAAAAAAGGATAAAATAAATTGAATATATGATGTTTTTAATAACATATCTTGTAAAGAAATATTGTATTTGATGATATATAAAGTGCAAACATGTGAAAAAAAAAAAAAAAACTTTTTTAATGATTCATATTCGTTTAACACTAAAACAAACTTTCAAGGTTTTCATAGATAAAACGTCAAATGATAATCATAAGTTGGAACTATATCGTGGCATCCAAAGGCCATTACAAATCCAAAAGAAATTAATAAGATTCCGAGGTTTTCATAGATAAAACGTCAAATGATAATCATAAGTTCAAACAAAGGAACTATATCATGGAATCCAAAGGCCATTACAAATCCAAAAGAAATTAATAAGATTCCTAAACAAAGCCTTTTCCTAGTAAGATGTTCCAAAGCACCTCTAAAGCAAAGACAACACCACTAAAACAGGATCACAATGGTATATTGTGACACCCTCTACCTCACATGCCATAACACATAAATAATAAAATTTGAATAACATAATATTTTATTATTAAAATACCAAATATGTTTAGATAGAGAGCACCACATCTATAACTTAAACAAATAACATAATCAGTGGAAATTACAACAAAATAAAGCTAAGGTTTTCAAAATAATTTAATAGAAATAACATCCTAATCTAATCATATCTACGCCCCGATATCACATGTCCTATCAGAGCAAAGCCCAACATAGAAGCGTAAGCTTCATCACCAACATCCTCAACCTCATGTTGATAATCACCTATATAACAATCAAAGGAAAACAACACAAAAGAAAAGGGAGTGAGAAACATCTCACTCTGGCTCACAGTGTAGGAATACACACTGGATAGTCAAACACAAATAAGTAGGCATGGCAATCTAACCCGGCCCCGTGGGTACCCGCCCGAACCCGCCTCGATCTGGATGGGGAAAACCCATGTTTATCGGGTTCGGGTTCGAGTTTTCCCCGATTGATAAAATCGGGAGCGGGGGCGGGGGCGGGGATGTTAATACCCACCCCGCCCCCGTCGGGGATGTTAATACCCACCCCGCCCCCGTCCCCATACCCGCCCCCGCCCCCGCCCCGCTTAATAATATAATTAAAAAATTATTTTTATATATATAAACCAAAATTATAAATATTTATTTGTAAAAATTTATATTAGTTTACTTTTCTTTTATTTTTTTAAAATTGTTCATATTTATTTAAAAGAAAAAAAGAAGAAGAAAAAAATAAGAGCGGGGG